GTTAGAATTAGAATTTTAGAATGATTAAAATGTTAGAATTAGAATTTTAGAATTCAAGTTAGAATATTAGAATTAGAACACTTTGTTGGTCGAGTGTGATTAGACACACAAGGACTTTTGTCTCCAGTGCAGGTCTCAGTGTACATGCAAAGCAACAGAGTAATATACTATGGTATATTATACATTACTATTCAGAGTAATGCATAGTAATAGCATTATTACACTACATAATGGTATGTATAGTATGACAGTAAGAGGTATCTAAGAAGGGATGTGCCAGCTCTGTGGCTAAGATTCTGAACTTGTCGATTGAAAGGTCAGCAGTTCGAATCCCTAGCACCGTATAACAGAGTGAGTTCCCGTTGCTTGTCCCAGTTTCTGCCAACCTAGCAGTTCGAAAGCATGTAAAAAATGCAAGTAGAAAAGTAGGGACCACCTTTGGTGGGAAGGGAACAGTGTTACGTGCGCCTTCGGCATTGAGTCATGCCGGCCACATGACCATGGAGGCGTCTTCGGACAGAGCTGGCTCTTCAGTTTTGAAACTGAGATGAGCACTGCCCCCTAGAGTCATGAACAACAAGCACATATGTGCAAGGGGAACATTTACCTTAAGAGGTACCTAAAGAATACACAATTAATACCAAGATGATCACCTCTGTATCTATCAACTATTGCTATAGAAGATTGCTTTTGTAAAATTGAAGAAGAGTACGAGGTTGGGTTTCACAATTCCTGCAAAGTCAGGTTTATTTTTATTTGTTGATACCCCACTTTTATTATTTTTTATAAGCAACTCAAGGTGGTAAACATATATCATATATTCCTCCTTCCTCCTATTTTCCCCACCACAAACCTGTGAGGTGAGCTGGGCTCAGAGAGAGTGACCGACTCAAAGTCATTCAGTTGCTTTCATGCCTAAGGGAAAACTAGAATTCACCATCCCCTGGTGATTGACCCAATGTCACCCAGCAGACTTTAATGCCTCCTATCCCAAAGTTGCTTTTTTCCAAAGGACCCTGGACTTCCTTTGTTTTTCTTTTTTTCTTGAAGAGATTTCCCTTCTCGTCCAAGACGCTTCTTCAGTTCTTCACATGAAGCCTTGCATTTTGCTTGGGATGTGTAAACAAAATCAATAAATCACGTGACACCTAGAGTCCAAAGGGATATGGTTGGGAGCTCTGCACCTGTTTCCCAGACCTCATGAGTCTCTCTCTCTTTCTCGCTATACAGGAGCCAGCTCCAGTCCTTCTCCTGTTTCTGAAGGCTCCTTGAAATCTATTGAGAGTTTCCTAAGCCGCAGGTGACTCTTTCAAAGCTACCTCTCCTCTCGGGTAGAGGACTCATTTGGGTGGGCATGAATGGGGCAAAGAGTTGTTTGGCAGAAAGATCGTTCTTTGATTGACACTGGAGCAAAGTGTCCATCTGTCCATGCTCACCATGATATGGCACAATCATAGTATCTTTAGAGCGGGAGGGGGTGACATAGTGAACAATCACTTAAATATGAGCAGCAGTGTGCTGCAGATACTAAGAAAGCCAACACAGTCCTAGACTTCTTTAACAGAGGGATAGAATCAGGGGTGGGTTGCTACCGGCGTTACTGCTGGTTAGGCAAGCAAAAAAAAAATAGGTTGCATCCCAGACGAGCATGCGTGCATGCATGCTCCCTTTTCAGCACTCGGTGGCAAAAAGCTTCACCATCACTGGTGTAGAGTCTCCTGCCTTGGAGGATTATACAATATAATACAATAGCAGAGTTGGAAGGGACCTTGGAGGTCTTCTATTCCAACCCTCTGCCTAGGCAGGAAACCCTATACCGTTCCAGACAAATGGCTATCCAACTTCTTCTTAAAGACTTGCAGTGTTGGGGCATTCACAACTTCTGGAGGCAACTTCTGTTCCA